GTAGTTGAACGACTTCTGCAATTCGAAACCCTCCCTTCAAAAAGCGAGAAAGTGTCGGGTGCAGACCAAACACCACAACTGACGACGGCCTCCAAGTAAATCTGGTTAGTAGTGGTTCATAGTGATAGCTGATTTTTAGTAAATGATAGTTGTAATTAGTGTCAACTGATCGAATACAACTGTAACAGGTTAATCATTTCATTGGCAAAAAACATTTGCATTTTCTGGAGCCGTCGTCACTTGTGGTGTATGGTCTGCACCCGACACTTTCTGGCTTTTTGAAGGGAGTGCATTCAAACGGGTGCGATCTATAGGGACACTTGTGATGAAGGAACTTCGTTAAGAGATAGAAAGGTAGTGCAATAGGTTAATGTTATAGCGATCAAGGTGCTCATGTCGTGGGAGGATGACGACGTTCAGGCGGAAAGAGGAGAGTAGCGGTCAAATTCGCTGTCTTTTTTTGAGTTCGGCAGTCAACTAGCGTTCACAATTTCTTTAGTCGGGCCGCCTTTGAACGAGGAGATTCGATCGTGGAAGCTCGTCTTGCTTAGTCAAACATACGTGAAACGAGGCAACAAACTTTGAGTTGATGTGCTGCCTTGGATAGATTGCCGGAATCAGCCAGTAAGAGCTGATAAAAGCTAACAGTAAGGGAGTGTAACGAAACTCTCCGACCCCTACAAACGAGCAAGGTACCTTAAGTATTAGACATTCAGTAGGTAACTTCACTGATTATTGCGACATTTGAAAGAACTTATTCACTTCACCATCCGGATTTTCGAGATATTGGGTTTTTTGTAGAGCTAATTCAAGAGGAAAGGATTGAGACACCAATGGCCACAATGGTGAACGTTCTTCACTAATGTTTTCAGTATCATCTAAAGCACCTTTCTGCAAATGGGTCGAGGATCCGTCGACGACTCGGCGAGGATTTTCGCCTGTTTAGTCACGCTCTCCTGCGCGACATTCACTCTCGCCATGCGCGAGCCGTCTGTGCTCTCCGCGCGTGCATTCACTCTCGACACTATTCTCACACAGTAAAGAGCCATGTCAAGGATTTCCTCGACCGTTATTCACCCTGCCTTACCGGTCACCGGTTGCAAGTTTGTCCAATACAGACCCTGAAGGTGTGAACCTTCAACAACAAACAAGTTAAGGGTAGGATTATAATAGCTTTGTAAGTTGCACTGGGATGTACTTGAGAGAAATCAGAGAAAGAATCTCCTGTGTAAAAAAAGTAACTGGAAAAATTCTCTAATATCAACTGTTCCAGGCTCACCTACAGAGTTGGTATCACCAAGACCGGCGACGAATCTCAACGGATTTTTCAGTGGTGCCCAACTGGGAACGACTATGTTGGTTCATATACTTTTTTTCCAAATATTTATTCTCTCTTTCTCTGACATTTCCTATTTCAATTGTCTGCAGGGATCCACGATTGTGTGGAATATCCATTATATGACACACTAATTTGAAGTCTTCTTATTTTTTTATTTTTGAAAACGCGCTTTCTCGCTTTCCCTCTCTTCGCAGCGCTGTGTCTCCCCGTCTACCACGACCGACCCAACAAAAGAAATTTCTGTGTTTTATGTTGCTTTTCTGCTCACTTACGTTTCTTATCGCACTTCTGGTCTAATTTTCACTTACCAGCTCGATCCCGATTTATGCCTTTGAAATCGAGAACTAGCCAAAGTGATTCACTAATTATGGAACAGCCTAATAGAGCTTTATAGAGATATTTACAATACTCGTGTTTCAATGACTCTTAAAGATTTTTCCCACCGGCGAAAAGGACTTCAAGTTTTATTTTTATTGTAATTCTATTGGCGGGCATTATCTCCTTCTTCCTCCTTCTGTACAAATAAGGCAATTCAGATATTCTGGCAAGATGGTCATCTGTACTACTCGGATTCAGCTGAGTCGTCCACTTCAGTGAGGATCAGTGAAGGCGCTCCGAACTGGGAACACGGTATCTTCGACTGGCTTTATGAGGAAGAAATATTTGGTCGGGAATCAAAGGTCAGTCGTCAGAGTCAAACTCCACGGCTTACCTCTCTCCCTGTGCAAATGTAGTTTGAATCACGTAGTTTTTTCTATCGGTTCACTGGTCACGGTATGAAATTAGCGTATTTGAGCCGTGAGAAACTCAAAGAGAAGTCGGTTTCCATGATTAGGTGAGTTCGCCTTGTGTTGATGTGCCTGTTTTCGCTCGTACGTATCTCCTTATAGTTATGTTCGCGAAGAAAAATACCCCAACGTTGTGGAGTTGCCGTATCCAAAAACTCACGAAAAGCACTTGCCGACTTACGTCGTTAATATCTGGGATAAGAAAGCTCGACGGTCGAAGCAAATGGATGTGCAATTAAGAGACAGCACGTAAGTATCCACTTTTTTATGATTTTTATGAGACCTATGGGTACACGACAGGAGGCCCGTCGCGCGGCGAGAAGAGAGAGACGTAGAGGGGTCAGCAGACGAGTACCGCGCGTGCTGTGCGATGGAAGACGTACTATAGTAGTCTGAAATCACTATAGTATGCGCTGCTACTCGTCCGCTTACTCGTTTCCGTCTCTGCCTTCTCGCCACCGACGGACCTGCTGTCGGGTACCCGAAACATACGTTATTTCTAATCTTCGAGTCGGCCGCACTACTTCTCTCGAAATCTTCTTTTGCACGTTGTTGGATAAAAAATAGAGCTAACAGGAGCAAAGGGAAATAGGGGGAGGGCGAGCAACTGTTGTACTAATCTCGATATGATGTTAGGCCGCACTCGTGCAATGCGATTTTAGAGAATAGAAGATTGAGCGATAATGGAAAAACTACGTATTGACCGAAGGTTAAGATATTAGGGGATCAGAAGATAAGAAATTTAGGAGATTAGGACGTTTGGGCGAAATTATCAGTTTTTGATTGATTTCACAAGGGATTAAGAGATATGTAGGTGACCAATATTTGCTCAGATATAAAATTTTTGCTCTGTTTTTCGCTCACAGTGGATCTTTTCGTTTTCTTCTGTCTTTCTGGCTCTTCTTCCTCCTTCCTATCAGTCTTTATTTGCTTTTTTCACGTGAGTATAGGTCCTTTATTAGGGCTGAATTGCACCGAAACAACCCGGGTTATTTCAAAAACCCTGAGAACTTTGAAAAATTAAAAAAAAGTAATTAACCAAGACAAGCCAAATGGCGTTCACTTTTCAAAAAGTCAAAGATTAACAACCACCGTCGTATTCGCACTTTCAAGCAAGTCAAATGATACACACACGTTTTCAAACTTCGTTTCAAAAGTCGGATTACTGTAGCTCGCACAATCTACTGCACCACAGTTGACTTCCCCTCGCCTTCCTGTTTACAGTATCCGTATTCCAAGCCAAATGATACACACACATTTCACTTTTCAAAAGTCGGATTACTGTAGCTCGTACAAACTTCTGCACCACAGTTGATTTCCCCTCGCTTCCTGTTTACAGTATCCGTTAACTTGCAACAGGCATGCAGTTCTTCCAGTTTACCCATGACTGAAGCCCTCCAACTGACTGCGATATTACTAGCGAACGAACAGGGTCAATCGTGCGTTCGTACTATTCGAACGAGTGGGTCGCATAAGTGATTTGGGAAGGGGTGTCGCGTTCAGGAGTTGAGTGGGATAAGGGATTAGTTAATTTGTTGAGCGAATGGCGAGGCGGTTTAGATTGGTTTGTGGCGCAGCGCTAGGTTGAAGCACTAATATACCCCCCCCCCTCCCACTCGACGGTCGTTTTGGAGGAAAAAGAGGGTGGAGAACAGCCATGATGGCGAAGACGGTTGTATCGTCGTATTGGAAGAGCCTCCTGAGTCTCAGTCGGTGGTGGTGAGGTCGCAAAATTTCTGAAAAAGTGCGAACGTCACGGTTGAGCCTGCTTGGGAAGCAAGTGTGAGCATAAGGCAGACTTTGTTGAGCGATTCGCCGTTTCGAGTGGCATGTAAAGAATCACTGAGACGAAAAATGGTGTTCAATACGACCTATTTTCTGGAGGCACCAGTGAAGCCGCCACTATCCGAAAGGAATTTCTAGTTTCCGTTTAGTGGCCCATCAATGTGACTGTAGCTCGATTTCCTCCTTACTGGAAGACAGGTCGTGAAAAACGCGGTAGAATTTGAATTTGGTCCTCCTGTCCAATTCGTGAACAACCTTTTCTTCGATGCTAATTTGTGCCGAAAAGCTTGCGGTTTCTCATGATCAAGTAAAAGGAGGAGTGAACACACGCTAACTTATGGATCCGATCACAAGCTGAAGGGATGCAGTTCACGATTAGAATGCAGCCTACCAGAATTAGAGGTGGTCAGTGGTGCCGGGATCAAGAAGAAAAAAACATGAGAACCGCTTAAGAACTCCAAAATGGGACCCTTTCCTTGCACATTAATTTTTGCTCTGACGCGCGACTCTCATCGGTGCTGCCCTCTTCAATCCTAACGTTCTCTCGTAGCGGCTACGAGACCTACGGCGAATTGTTAGCCAGGCGGTGGGCGTACCGTGCCCATAGCCTCGCGGGGATGGTAATGCTATATACATAGATCACCGGCCCTAACAAGGTTTCTGAAATGTCCATACAGCTCAAGTGTTTTTCATATTCACTGGAGGTGATCAAAATTTGCCGACAAACAGCAAACTAACTGAATTAATTCAGAGCATTCCACTATCTTTACGGCGTGAAGTGGATCAAGATGGGAGATGACGAGTTGTTAGTTGCTACATGGGCGAATCGACTTCAAACTCATATTTCCATCACTATTTGCGACTATACTTCGGCAATTTGTAAACTGGTGAGTATTTCTGGACGAGTAACAAGGTTGACAATGATAAATAATGACAAGGTTTCATGAAGACCAACATTGGCTTTACTAATTGTAACGCTAAAATTTTCCAATGGCACGAAATTTTTGGGGCTATCTGAATGTGGTCTGAAAAGAAACTTTCCTGGAGTATAACCCCGAACAGCCCTTCGTTGAGAAGATTCCGAGCAAAGAGATTGCGCTTGGCCAACAGAGTGTGGGCAAGTGCAGGGGTTAGTGGCGAAAGTGTGATGGTATCCTCACCAGTGGGGATGCCAAGTGGGTGAGAGTACAACGTAGGAGCTTGAATTTCTGATCGTGTGTCTTTATAGAGTGCCTTATCTCGAGTGAGGGTGAAGCTGGCGAACACGCCGTCGCGATTTGATCCAGACCCGTGAAGGAATTCCCTCCCTAATTTTCCTGGTGTGAAGGAAAATATGCCTGTTTGGTGATCAGGAGGCTCAGACATGTATTTCCGTGGTCTTAGAGGAACACAACGTGCTGCACTGCCGAGCATCCGCAAGCATTAACACGGGAGAGCGTTTGAGTTTGTTCGCGTTAACACGAAGGAATCAGTCTGTTCTTGAGGCACGAAAACGACATTCCTTCTAAGCAATAGCTCTAGGAATGCCAAAAGTGTGCAAGATTTGTTCTAGTTCGATCCACTAATCAAATTTTGAATTTAAATTCGCGCTGACAAGGTTGTTACCAAGTGGCTCCACCGATGAAGCAACAACCCCAGAAGGTTACTCTTACTACTGATGGAGTGAAAAGATGGTGAGCCCTAATCGAGAACATGTGAAGGTCGTTGAAACAAAAACTCTGAAACTTAGAAAGCCGCTGAGAGGATTTGGATAGTTGTGCCATGCGTCTTCATCGACACGCCCATGACTAGCCGTGGAAATCGCGTGATTTGCTGCGTGGTCCCTGCGCGATTGCATATTAACTGTGGTCGCGTTGGAAGAAATGCAACCTGTTTTTTTATTGGTTTTAATTGCTTAGATCGTTTGATTATCGTATTTCTTTACATGTGTTGGTGCATATGCAATTGCAGCCGCATTTCTTGCTGGCACGGAGCCAGCAATAAATGCCGGCGGAGCAAGCTATTTCGGACAACTCGTCCGGCCACACCCCCTCCTTGGTTAAAGCGGAAGAAGGGAAGTCCTTGTTTGAAGGTTTCCATCTACCGTTCTGTTTTTTTTTCACTTTCAGTCGACTCGGCACCCACAATTTTATTACCGGCCGCTTTTACCCCACCAATTCGATCTGGGGTTTTTGCTTTTAATTATGGATTCATAATCACCACACGAGCTATGTGTGACCCTTTTGAGTAGGTTCCACTAAAAATTGGTGGATACAAGGATACAAGGCACCAAAAATTTATCTCATATTCTTGATCAAGGTACTGGATATTCTCGCGGCAAAGTTTCAAAAAGAATCGGTAGAAGAAACCTACTCAACTTACTTCTGTTTCTGGAGTGAATTTTATATCTTTCTTTACTCCGCCACC